ATTTTTCACTCATAAAGATGTTTAATCACAATAGTCTTGACTTGTTATAGAGGAAAAAACGTTCTGTATATTAATACACATGTTTCCTTAACACTCTAGAGACTAGAATAACTTTCCAACATATTCAAATATCACTTTCCTGAATCTCGTTTTATTGCGGTTCCTCCGTGGGACGTGAGCTCGGCGCGGCTCGTTATTTTCCGTGTCGAGTTTCCCGGATGCGTGCCATATAAGGAAAAAGGGGCGTGTCTGAGATTACCGGATGATAACCATTTATGGGATGCGTCGTAACCGGAATTCCTGATAATAACATACACCAAAAAGTTAACAACAAACATCTAACTGTTCCCACAGACCACAAATATATTTTAAATATAACAACAACATATCCAGAACATTTCAATCCATTTTTTTGATTTAAAGAAAAGAATAGTAATGTCAGATTCAGAAATATTATGTCTAAAAAGAGAGGTCGTGTCATCACATGGCCAAAAGCAGAAAAAAAAAAAAAAAGAAAAAGGAAGAAGAAGCCCAACCCGTTTTTCTGTCCTTTTATGGTCAGTGACGTCACTGGACATTGACAGGCTCTTCATAAATGCATTCTACGAGATAAAGTTTCACTTATTGCCGCGGCATAAACTGAAGGGAGCTGATGAGCTCTAACAACCCCGATGCGTGCGTTTATGATGAAGTGAGCACGTTTATAACACATCAACTAGATCATAAACGCTCTGAGAACAACGTAATAAAATTAAACCTGCTTTTTTTTATAAACAACACCGAGGATTAAAATGACAGCAACAGCTAGCAGAGATCAAATTAACGCGTCGCTACATGATTTAATGCGCTGTCTGCCATCACACATCTACTCTCTGGATGAGATTCCCTCATCAGTGCCGATGGGATTCTCTGATGTTTGTTCTGAGCAGTTCAGTGAGGCGTCGGGAGGTAAGAATACTGTAGAGATGCTTAAATATTAAAATGAATAGTCACAATGGGCTGTTGCTCAATAAAAAAAATATTATTTTTTTAGCAGTGCTTTGTAAGTTAAATTCAAACAACTTGTTCAAAACTTAGGGTTATTATTTTTGGTATAGATTTACAAAATATAAGTAGCCTCAAATACATTTACAAAATATAAGTAAAACAGCATGCGTGACAATGACAGTTCAACCTTCATTTAGGCTACTCATGCCATGTTTTAATTATATTTTGTAAATGTATTATGTTGTCAAAACAATTAATCGGTAATAGTCGCATCTAACAAAAGCTTTTGTTTACATATTATGTGTGTATGTATATATATATATATTTATATATTTGTGTGTGTGTTAGTGTGTAGGCTTTATTTATACATATATCACTATAAAAAAGTTGCTGTAATTTTTTTAAGCACAATCAACTTGGATGTTTAAGTAATTTCAACTTAAATACGTCAAAATGAGTGAAATCTTGTATAACTTGAAATATAAGTTGAAAATTGCTTAACTTATTTTGATGAGTTAAAGCAATGTAAAAACATGTCATAACTTATTGATCATATTTTTTTTTAGTGTATGTGTGTTTAGATATATACACACACACACAGACATACATAATATCTATAAAAATAAACTTGTAAACAAAAACTTTTATGTTAGATGCAATTAATCGATTTGACAGCACTAAAATGTATACAATTTATTATTGATTACAATTTGTTGTCCAAAACAATAGTTCAATGTATATTTTACTTTTTTTTTTGTTGCTTTTATTGATTGCTTGTTTATTTTTTATTGTTTATATTGCGATGAAAAGTCTGTTTATGTCGGGTCATGTTATCTCAAAAAGTGAACGGAAACGTTCAATAACACTTACTTGAGTATAAACTGACTTTCAAAAATTAACTCAGAAACACTGGAGAAAAAAATCTGTGATTAGGTTTTAGCCCCTAATAATAGGCCAATCTCCAAAGATTTCTTCGGGAAAAAAAAGATATTTGTAGACTGATGTTATGTTCACTTAAAGAAAACCTATAAGTATTCTTGCAGTATTCAAATTATTACTGGTATATTTACTGAAAGTATTCTTTAAAGTGTACTTTCAAAAACAAAAATGGGTTAGAAGTAGTATATAACTAAATTAAGTCTACCTTAAGTAAACTTTTTCTTTAGTATTGCAACTATAGTATATTTTACTGCGATCTGTCCAATCAGAATACAGAGAAATACCTGCATATACTTTGCCATCTACATACCAACAATCGTTTACAAACTGAATATGTCTAGAGTAGATCCCACTTGGTGGAAACACGATTTGCGGGAAATAGGCTGCACATATACATTTCACCTATAACGCAATAAGGAATTGCTCAATCTAAATGTTTTGCTTTGACTTTTCCAGGTTGCTTGAGTACAGACTGCTTCGGTGTTGAAAAACGGGGCCTTGATCTGACAGACCCGAGCAAGTTTTCTCCTGTCGCCTACACAGGAAAGATATCCATTGACGCACAAGGAAGTTGGAACCAAGAAGGAATAATCAACTTTGTCAGTGCAGGAGTACAAGATAGGCCACCCTCCTCGGGATCATTCTCCACGGGCTCTCCCGCAGGTCCCACTCCAGACTGCTCCAAAATAGGCCAAACTCTTTCCAACATGGAGCATATATACACCGGCCCGCCCCCCTACACCTGTAGTGCCGATGGATACCAGGACCCCTCGGCCTACCTATCAGCCACCACGTGCCCCATAACATACGCCACTCCGTCATACTCAGCCCCAAAGTCAACCATAGACGGGGCGCTTTTCTCCATCATTCCCGACTATGGAGGTTTCTATCAGACCAGCAACAGCCAACGGGACAACATGGCTGCATTTCAGGACATTAAACCATTTTCGTGCTCTTTGGAGTCTATTAGAGTCCCACCACCTCTGACTCCCTTGAACACCATTAGGAATTTTACTCTGGCGTGTCCGGTTGACGGGTCAAGGCCACCTATAGACGGTCACGGCACCAATCCGCAAAACGTCCCACTCAGGCCAATATTGCGGCCACGGAAATACCCGAACCGACCGTGCAAGACGCCGGTCCACGAGCGCCCTTATCCCTGTCCGGCGGAGGGATGCGACCGGAGGTTCTCGCGCTCGGATGAGCTCACGCGTCACGTCCGCATCCACACCGGACACAAGCCGTTTCAGTGCCGCATCTGTATGCGCAGCTTCAGCCGGAGCGACCACCTCACGACTCACATACGCACACACACGGGCGAGAAGCCCTTCTCCTGCGACTTCTGTGGCAGAAGGTTTGCGAGGAGTGACGAGCGAAGGAGGCACACAAAAATCCACCAGAGACAGAAAGATAAAAGGGCGTCAGCGCCCCCTCACAGCTCGAGCGCCGATGCTACAGCGATGTGAACTAACAGTACAACAAGTTCTGACTGCTGGGTTAGTCATTGCCCCAATTAAACCTGGAACTATCGCTGTGTTTGTGTGCGCAGAGATACGAAGGCAGCTTATGAATTAAGTGTTGAATGTGGTTTGTTGTAGGCTAGCTAGACAACGTCCTTATCACAGAATATTTCATGTGGTTCAAAATGCAGTTGTTCTGAGATAGTGTTTACAGTGAGTATTTTTATTACTGTTGTGTGTCTTAATAAATTGTAATAAACACAAAGTCTATTTTCTGAGAATCAGCTTTCCAGTGAGAGTGACGACAAGTGCCGCATGGCATTGCAAGGTTTGACCACTAGAGGTCGCAATTGAGAAACAAATGTGTGCGGCGGCTATTAGGTCCATATACACTACAGTTTTATTCAGCAAAGATGCATTAAATTGATCAAATTGATCCAACATTAATAATAAGAAAAAATGTTTCATGAGCAGCAAATCATATTAAAATTATTTCTGATGTGACACTGAAGACTGGAGTAATTATGCTGAAAAATCAGCTTTGCATCACAGGAATAAATTACATTTTAAAATATATTAAAACAGAAAAGTTATTTTAAAATGTAATCATATTTCACAATATTACTGTTTTTTACTGCATTTTTGATCTGATAAATGCCCCCGTGATGCCCATAAGAGACTTCTTTCAAAAATGATTGTCTAATTTTCTAAATAATCTAAAAATGTATTTAAATAATCAACAAGACCAGTTACCATTGCATATTTTATTAGTTTAAGTTTACTGGAGGGGAAACAGAACTTTAGTTTCTTATGTAAAATCAATGTTACAATCTTCATAATATTTTAAATGTTTCATTTTTTCATCATTACTTTTTTTTTTTTTTTTTTTTACTTGCATCGTGGCTAAGTGCTTTACAGTCATAATTACCAGGAGTGTTCAAAATAGTATCCAGTGCCAAATGAGTGTTGCTAAACATTTCTGAGCCAGATTGCAGTTCTGATAGCATAATGCGTTAAAACAATATCCGGCAATGGAAATAAGATGATCAGATTCCTGCTCTGTTCGACTATTGTGAAGCCTTCGTTAAACCAAATCTCACATCTGCTGCAAATATTTAAATATTTATCACATGCTGTACAAAGTGACTCCAGGCAACAGACCAGTAAAGAACAGAGAACTGATCTTTAGTTAAATCTGCACAAAAATAATAACCAAAAGATAACTAAACACAGCAGCAGTGGATTGACAGGTATTTCAAATAACTCTGTCTTGTTAAAGTACCCATTCTGACGTATTAAAGGGACAGTTCACCCAAAAATGAAAATGTTGTCATTATTTACCCAGCCTCATGTTGTTCCAAACCTGTATGAGTTTCTTTCTTCAACACAAAAGACGATATTGACAGTTGAAGGCACCCATTGACTTCCATATTTATTTCCTACTATAGTCAATGCTACTGTCAACTGTCTGGTTACCAACATTCTTCAAAATAACATCTTTTGTGTTCAACAGAAGAAAGAAACTCATACAGGTTTGGAACAACATGAGGCTGAGTAAGGCATGACAAAAGTTTCATTTTCAGGTGAACTATACCTTTAATGAAAAGACTTGAATCAACCAGAACCCAATAGTGCTTCAGAGGGACACTTTAGGCCCTGGGTAAGGTTCTCCACCACACCAGAATTCACTAGGCTGTGGTATTTCCATAAGCCACACATCACCCTGTTCCTGGGCTTCACTATTCCTATCTGCAGCCTCTGAATGAGCATGTAAAACTTTATAATAGTGGCAGTCTCTCCCTTTGTCCGGCTCATATGGCGGCGCTAAGATGTCAAGGAAAGCGGTGGGTCCGTCAACAGCGTCTATCTGGTGGATATTGTCCTTGTGTGGCGACAGCACACACGGGCCGCTGTCCTCCGTGTATTCCCCCACAGACCTCAGCACTGAAGGCCGTAAAGAGCTCCTCTGGAAGGGCATCAGTGGAGGGTTGAACTGCACACCGCTGGTTCCCTCTCTAGGTGTATCCAGCCTGTCGAAACAGCTGATTCGTACCTTTCCGTAGATCACTTTCAGCATGCCGTACATTCCCGGGTGATCATGCAGGGGTATAAAAGCACCAGTTTTTAATAAAAACACCCCCATGCTGAAGGTGTCGGTCTCGTAGATGTGCATGTATGTTGCGGGAGGTGCGAGACGCTGAGGCGGGATCATCGACGCGCTCTCGACGCTCCGCGGTACAATCTTCAAATCGGCCGCTCTGACCTCCGCTAAAAGGTTTTTCAGCTTGCTCTGATTTTCCAAGAACACTTTATTGTGTTCTCCGACAATAGAGGGGTTTCGGAAAGTCGTAAGGGCCTGTTTGGCGATTTTCTGAACAGTGGAAGTCATATTGTCTCGTGGCATCATAACGCAAGTGTCCAGCGTCAACTTGCCTTTCAGCGCGCCGCTTTTCACGTGCTACAACTCGTAATTCAGAGATCACCTTCTTATTCGGGCCGTCAATGTGTAAGAACTTAAGGGGACCTCCAGGAATACCGTTAGGATCGAGCCATTCCTGGCCATGACTGCTCCATATACAGGCATCCGATTCACACGTACGCAATGTCAACACTGCTATACGTAACACAGAGAATTATGGGAAATGTAGTGTTTTACTATAATGTAGCTGAGGAGATAAAGCTAAACGAATCATTTTAGAAACTTGTGCTTTTTATAGCTGTAAGCTTTAATCAATCTGGTCTGTCACGAATAAAAATATCTTTGTAAAGACCTATATGGACGTTATAAGAGACATTACACTTAAACCGGTTCCTACAACTCCCATAACACTTGCTCTTCAAGGGGCAATGACACTTCGGTCCTTCACCACCACTCAGAGAAAACTCACGCTTTGAAAATGCCGTAAGTGTGGGTTTACTGTGTGACCCCTACTGTGTGAAAAGTATTTTGACACATAAAAGTATAAATATCATTCCATTAAATGCAATATATTAAACCAAATGAAATTTATTTTAAAGAAAGAGAGCACATGCATAGGCTATCTTACAGAATGAAGAAGTTTGTAATATGCTAATCTATAGAAATACTAAGGAATGCCATAGATGTAGTTCAAACTTAAGACAAAAAATATTTAGACACTTTTTGGTCATCAAACATTAATAGTTAATGTGATTAATTACAAGTCGTTACACTTCTGACCCCTGTGTGAACTTGAGGGGAACTGACGTCGTGTGTGTGTGTGTGTGTGTGTGTGTGTGTGTGAGGGAGGGAGCGAGAGACGGGGCGGGAAGTACAGTTCAGTTAAAAATAGTTTATCTTAGCTTGTTCTATATCAAGTGCAAGTAACAACATAAATAACTTGTTTATTGGCTTTATTTTCCAAGTATGATTGTATTCTCAAAATACCTGAGTTCACTCTGAATAATTAGTATGGCCTAAATAAATTCCCTCTTTCGCCCCGACTTTGATACAGACTTTTTGCTTTCTGGCTCAAACATTAGAGCACATGAAAATAAAAACTTGAACGGTATGACATAAAACACAATGGGCTCCAATTAATGCTGTCTGGTTCCATCGTTCTTCAAAATATCTCCTTTTATGTTCCATAGAAGAAAGAAAGTCACAGGTTTGGAATTACATGATGGTGAGAAATATAATTAACATAATTAATTAGCTGATACAATAATTTCTATCCCTTTAGGTTCCATATTTTCTAGGGTCTCAATAATAAATTGACAAAGGGAGACCTATGCCTATATTTGGATACAATAAATTGTCATTGTGAGTATTATCCAGGAATAACTATCCCTCTGAACACTATATACACTAACACTACACTATGCAAGAAATCAATGCATGATTGACTGCAACAGAAAATGATGAAACTATGATCTCATTATCAGTGCAGAAACAGACCGTTGACATTCTGGCTGTTGCCCAACCAATCATGACTCACAAACATGTTTGTATGACATTGTTTTAAAATATATATTTATAGAGAAAGAGACATGTGGACAGTTTAGTCATCTGTGGACAGTTTAGTCATCTGTGGATAGTTTAGTCATCTGTGGTCATGTTGTTATTTCCAAATACTTCGCCTAATCATTTGTTGGCATTCACTTAAAAGCAGAGCATCTATAAAAAGCTAACGCTATGGAACAGGATGCAACACCACCGCCTACTCAAGTCTTCTGAGCTTGTAAAATCACACACACACTTGCGTGTGAATCCCAATATGACTGTGAGTGTGAAGAATTTTTTTTGATGACATCATGATGCTCTATGTCATCTGAATTCACACCAGACATTAATAAATGCATAAACTCTCTAGTCCTCCTCGTTATGTTATGATACATATCATGACCGAATAACACATTTAGCTACGCAAACAAGTCTAATAATATTAGTCTGCTTATTCACTATTTCTCTCTCCTCCTAATAATGTGGCTTGTAAACTTGCTTCATAGCCAACTCAAACAAGTAGAGCCCCCTCAGTCAGTTTATTTATCTTTGCAGTGAACTTCTGACTAAACTTTTACAATTTTTGTAAAAATTACCGCTACCAAAACAGCTGTGAATCCCAACGAGGGGTATGTGACCCCAGGCCAGTAGGCTTAAGAACGTAGAAATGTTTAGAGTTTTCTTTGTGAAACTTGTAAACAGTAAAGAGTAACAGAAGATTAAAATAAATAATCGTTATTGATGTCATAATTTGTTTTCAGTTTTGCTTAGCACACCTCTAGTGTGTATGTAACATCACACGCTAGCGTCAAGATAGTCTTCAGTTACAATGTCATTGTAGAAATGTGCTTTTTTATTCACAGTCAGCCATGGTTAATTTAATAATAACAGAGGGATTACTGAGATAAAGCAAGTGGTATTTGGCTAGACATGTGATCTCAGCATGTCATGAGGAGACCCACTCCATGTAAAATAAAAAAATGATTTCATATATGTACAGGATTCTAAACATATTTTGTATTTGGTAAAACTTATTTCAATCAAGGAAAAATTAAGTGAGTCTATCTTTAAGGAAAGAAAAAACTATGCAAATCGGTTCACAAATGGGCCTTAAAGGGTTAGTTCGCCCAAAAATGAAAATTCTGTCACTCACCATCATGTCATTCCAAATCCATAAGACTTTCATCTTTCATTCATCTACAAATGAAGATCTTTTTGATGAAATCTATAGGCTTTCTGTCCCTCAGTTGACAGCTACGCAAATACCACTTTGACGCTTCAAAAAGTGATTGTAAAAGTAATCCATATGAGTATGTATTTTAGTCTAAATTTTCTGAAGACTCGACCACTTTATATGATGAATAGATTGAATTTAGGCTTTTATTCACATATAAACATTCATCAACTCACACATCAGATGTGGTAAACAGAAGCTCAAGCATGTTCACTTGACGTGTGAGAACCAATGAGGTTCATTCTCGTGTTACACAGCACGTTTGAGCTTCAGGGTTTGAACGACATGAGGGTAAATAAATGAATACAAAATTTACATTTTTATGTGAACTCTATCCCTTTAAAGGTGCAGTATGTGATTTCTGAGAAACACTGGTGAAAGTGGATCGGACCGAGCTGCAGCACAACACACTTGCAGCCAATCAGCAGTGGGGGGGGGGGGGGGTGTCCTCTCATGATGAGGGAGGAGAGAGAGAGAGATTTTAAGAAAGACTGTAGAAAGAGAGATGGCTGAGAGACATTACAAAAGAGAAAAGCTCAGAGGAATATCACTGGAAAAAGAAAAAGAAGGATTATGATCAAACAAGAGCTTTAGGGCCCACGTTAATATTTCCAGCGCTAGAGAGACGACAGAGAGCGGGAAGGTCTGAAAACCGATGGCAAGGTTGCGTCTGCATAGGTGAGTAACATTGGTTTTGCTTTGTTTCAAAGAATGAAATGGTCATGAATGGCCTCCGCAAAGCCCGTCTACGGAAAGCCTGGCCACTCCCTATTAAGTCCTATTGTACCGAATTTTGGTTGTATTTCCACCAGAGTTCCACTGGGGGCGATCGCCCGAGTGCAAAATGAATGGGAGTCTATGGAGCTAGACGGCTAAATTTGTCTCTTTCACCCGATTGCCGTTGAGAAATCTCAGATTTGAAATGTAGGTTTTGCAAGTTCAACATGGGTTATAGGTCGAAAGTTGAGTGAACGAGTACTTATGTCCTTTCGATTTCTTACAGGTTAAGTTGTTGTTGCCCATAAGACGCTAGCATTCTGCTAATGGATGCTGATTGGTCAGTGAAGGACTGGTAACGACCAGAGATACCGCTTGATGGCATCGTGGCATCCGAAGCGACTAGAATGTTAAGGCGGACTTAAAGGTGAACTAAGTAACTTTTTTACCTTAACCGAACAGCTTTGGAGTCATTGTAATGTTTATATTACTGATTTCGTGTTGAATGGTGGTCGTCTCGCCCCCTGGTGCCTGTGAGCCGCAAAACCACCCTTGCAACTTTGGGCCGGCGGCCTCAGTGTTAGGAAGTATCGTGTGATATCAGGTCTCGCGAGGTAACGAATTGCTTTACGGCAAAAAACAGATCTGATAAAATTATGATAAAATGAGCATCCAACAGAAATAACCCGGCGCCGTATACATGTGGTGTTCGAGGCGCACATACAATACAGACTGCCAACAGTTAAACGGCGCGCGCAGCTCTTAAAGGGGCCATACCTTATTTCCACTCGTTACAGCGTCCACTCGTTACAGCGTCCACTCGTTACAGCGTCCATCCTACTGAACAGGTACCGGTGTACAGGGGGAGGGGATCCGGCCGTGAGTGCGAGCCATCTCTGCGTGAGTGCTATTCACGACAGTACAAGTGCTCCACAGCGACTCTAGGGGTCGCTGTTTGACAAAAACGGAATTCCTACTTAGTGCTGCTTTAACTCTTCTAGCACGTGTATTTACCCGTGTCAGCTGTGTTGTCGATGCCTCGAGAGAAAGGAAAGTGCAGAGTGCGAAAGCACCAAAGTGACTGAAGGATTGCCATAAAGCAGTATCTCTGGTCGTACGATGTGTATGACGTCATTGACATTTTAAAAGACTTTTTAAAGCAAATAAGTGACTCTAAAAAATATAACACCCATTAATCTGTAATTACTTTGCATCTCCTTTCGAAAACAACATTCAAATTACTAGACAAAAAATTATATCCTGAGAAAAGTGGATTTTGAGGGGTTTATCTCCATAGACCTCCATTCATTCTGCACTCGTCCTGTGAGCGCCCTCATATGGAACCAGAGTGGAACTGCAACCAGTTCAGAACCCGGAAGTTTACTGAGAGTGAGAGTTCTCCCCTTATTAGACATTCTCTGGCCTCCGTCAGACAAAAACCTTCTGAAAAATGTAAATTGGAGAGATCGTGACCTCAGCATACTAAATGTAATGAGTGACGTCAGTACGAGCCTTAGAGGCTGCAGCCGTTAAAGTCCCTCAAAGACAACAGAGAGCGAACCAATCAAAAACACTACCAAGCGATTCTTTGATCTTCATGTTAATATGAAGCATCTTCTCAATTCAGCTAGTACCAGTAAAGC